AACATATATGTCATACGACAAAAACATCTCGTGAACATTTTCTGTTTATACTTTAATATTACATTGAAAATTTTCGATGTTTTAGTAACCGAGAAACGGAACGGTAGTTTTGAAATATATCGGCTCGAACTTTATCAGCGTTTGACCTAGATTAATAAAAGGTTCTGAAAACGATAAAGGTAAAAGTGATTGTTGAAATAAAGTTTCTAGAAATAATTTACTTACTTATTATAATTATAAAAATATGTGTTTGAGTTTGTTTACCTGATCACTTATAAAAGTGTTCTCGTTTTAAAGTACGTATTATCAATAAATATTTTAAATTATGTGATTTTTCTTTCTTCCTTTTTTATTGAAGTAACTAATGTAAAATGTTTTATTTCTTATGTTTAGAAAATGTTGCCTCAGTCGCAGTGAGCTGATGACTAATGTAAGCTTTCTTTCTGGAAGCATCAAATTAGCGCATATATATTTCTAGAGGAAACTGTTTGAGGCGTTTTGTCATATCCAGTAAAATATTAAGTAAATAAATATATAAGGTTGTATTATGAAAACTTCAAGTTATAGTCTAGACACTAAAAGTGTTATCATCAAAATTTCAACAAGTTGAAAAAATAGTCTACAAAGAAATTGCTATCTGATTTTGATATAAATATTACCAAAATCAGTTTGCAGATATTATCAAAATCAGATTTTTGAAGTGGAGTAGTTATGATAGACCTCATATTTTAAGTATTAGCAAAAAGAATTTAAATACATAGAGTATAACATTTAAGATTTTATATCTAAAACGAGCTGTTCAAGATATAAAGGGAGATGTTAAAAAATAAAAAGGTGTGATATTATTTCATCGCTAACTAAAACAAAGTGGGAATGTTGACGTATTCAAAAAAGAAAAGAGCTAATTTTTGAAGATGTAAGCAGTGAATTTCTTTCCCTATACCGCCTGCGTTCGAAGAGTGCTTCCTCGAAAAACGTCCCTCGAATAGAAGTAAAAAATATTTTGTCATAGCAACAAATTTGCGAACTGAAAACAATAAATGCCTCCAAGTCTTTTATTCAAAATCTTTAATAAATAAATAAATATTTTATTAATTTAAAGCGAATTGAGACAATTACTTATTTTCCAATCTAAAAATAATTAGCATTCAAATGGATATGTATTAATATTTAATTTAAAATAAAAGTTACTATTATTCAAAATATTCATCTTTAACGAAACAAATAAGTACTATACAAAACAGCATAATATTCGTACAAATAGTTTTATTAACATGATTTTAAAACTGATGGGAATTGCCTGATTTTGTCCTAAAATGTTTTCGTAACCCAGATGTCCATTGGTTATTATTATATACATAATCTAGTCCACGAGTTTTATTTTTCAAACTCATCAGAGCATGCTGTTAAACGAAATTAATATCAAACATGCTTCATTCGAATATTTACAAATTGAATCTCTTATTTTCGAGAACAATAGAATTGCAGTGCCTTATGGCCAAAGCTAGCTGAATTCAATCGAAACAAGAGACTGATCAGAATGACGTTTCAGCTTGTAACTCTATGTGAATTATCTCTATGGGATTTATGCAACACTTACAAATCAAATCCCGTTAATTTGGTCACATAAAGCAGCACGATTAAATGGATTAGAGCAGATGCCATCTTGTGCCATACACAATGGAGCCAGTATTAGTCATTGATAAATTGTAGTCCATAGGATATAGTGAACATTGCTGCATAAACGTAAGCAAATAGTAATCAGATTACTCTCGATTCAAAACGCAGAAACGAGGCTCATACGGAGTCAATAAGATTAACATTTGAGCACAGATCTCAACAGGTGATGACATGAAGATCCTACTTGGCAAATAAAACTATAAATATACATATATATCGATATAATAATTTTATCAACGTCTTTAGAGATGAAGGGAGATGATATACCATCACTCCTTGTAGCCTTCAATCACTATAAACAGGCAAATAGCTGATGCATATTTTGCTATTAAATCAAATGCTAAAGTTTACAGGATTGCATGAAAAGAGAATTTTGATCTTTCCTTTCAGGTCTTTGAATGAACTTCAACCGTACAGGAGATTATGGTTGCGTTTGGAAAGCGAAACTTTCAAATCCTCATTGATAACATAGACAGAGAATGAGACATTTAATAAAAGGAGAATACATTCATATAAATATTGCTTTTCGTAGTGTCAGATAATTAATTAAATTGCATTATTTGTCTTTAATTTTGGAAAAAGCTAATTGCTTTGTATGTCAGTACCTATTATCTTTATTCGCCCTCGTTTTGTCGCCATGTTTCTTTCTAGGAAGAAAGCAACACGAGGTACTATAGTTTGATACTATTTCTATTTAAAAAGGTAATTCAAGGTTATTTCCATCCCCCTAAGTTGCTTCGTAAACATAAGAATGGCTGATGCATAAGGCATGATTAGTCGCCTATTTTTCCCCTGCTGTTCATCTTCGTTTATCATGTTTCGCTTCATGAAAAGCGCATGAATGAAGATAAATGAAGTAGAAAAAACAAAAGCTGTGCGATGAAGACGCCGCACTTTGCATTCTCAGATGGGGAAGGCCTGAAATTAAGTTCCTATTTTTAAAGAAAAAGATCATAACAGCTACAGGAAAACAATAAAAATGTTTCTGCTGTTAAATACTGCTTTACAGTTCGTTTCCTTATCACCATATGAGCATGATTGTAATTTTCTTTGCACTTGTCACAGTGTGTCTTTGAATTAGAGATTTTATCATCTTCATATATACCTCAGAATAGCTTCTAGTCCATTTTTATTAATTGTTTCTAATACAAATTTCTGCGCTTGCACATCTGAATCTCTGTCCACTTTTGTACAATAACTGTAACTGCAAAAATGCAAAAAAGTGTAGAAAGACTATTTTTTACTTTCCTTACAGTTCTACTTGGTTGCAGAATGCCACTTTCTAAATAACAGATAATATTTTTCAAGCAGTCTGTTTCGAATGTACAAAACTTGTTTACGCTGTTAAGTTTGGATTTTACTTCAAATTAAATAAATTCTCAGGGCCACTTTTTCCAGTTTTGGATGATTTGTTGCAAAAGGTAAAACTTGTGATTTTCTTGCTATTTGTGGCAAGCGGTCCTCTTCCGAAGATCCTCTTCCGATCTTTATATCTTTGGTGAAATAACATTAATTTCGCTAATTTTAAAATACTTTAATTTTTGAACGGATCCAGGCACACCTATATCATCAACACTGTGCTAAAAATGAAGCAGTGCTAACGATTATAAGTTCCAATGGAAAATCGTTTTCCTCCGCTATAAAATGCACTTTCAACAGATTATATTTTACAGTTTTCAAGAAAGGGGAAAACGTACGAGTTAATTCCAGGAATCAGTATATCGTTGCTAGAAAACTGAAAAGGCTCTAGATGCTTTACATTAAGAACGCTGTTTACAAATGTATTACGCTGAGTTGCTAGTGAAAAGAACAAAAAGAGATATTACAAGCGAAGAGAAAATATGGATTTCACCCTGGAACAATTGACGAAAGCGTAGGCAAGGCCATCATCATGATAATATGTTGGCGGGGGAATATGGCATTTGCATTATTCAGAAGGCTATCTACCGTGGTAACAAACTTATTCGTAATATGCGCAACATTTCAACAGAATTATTCACTCTGGAACGTAGCATGTAGTTTTAGAACTACATTATATTCTGAGAATATGATGTTTTCGAATAAACATACAAGCTAAAAGTTGTTACATTTTATAATTTAAAAAAAAAAAAAAAAAAAAAAAAAAAAAAAAAAAACATGCGAATAGGTTTTTAGTATGTTACTTTCGTTTCTTTATTTCGCGTTTTCGTATCATATTTTTTCATGGCAAAACTTATTTCGGTCTGGCAACTGACAGTCACAAATTTCGCAGTGATGCATGACTACAATGAGACTTCAAAGTAATTGATCTATTGTATAATGATTGAAAAACGTCTTAGCGATTACTGTAATAGGATGGTAATCTAAAGTTTACAGTTTTAATTTTTAGCACCTGTCCATGCCATATTTTTGTAGATGCATGATAGTTTTTATTAAATCTGCATGTCCAATGAATAATGGCTAAGACTGATTTAGGAAACTATAAAAATTATTGGATGAAATATTTAATTGTGTATGGTGTTTTACTTTACAATGTGTATATTAATACAGTAAATTATTGCTAAAATTTAACTATCTTGTAAGCTTAGTAAAACAATAATTTAAGTGAACCACCAATAAGGTAAAATTGTTTCTTAAACTAATGTTACCAATGGTCATGCAATACTCTTAACTGTATTGTATTCCAAACATTATCTAGCAGGGAATGATGCTTTTGTGCATTGCATTTGGACTAAATCCAGCTCAGTACCAAACGCCTACTGAAAGAGTTTGTCACGTTTACTGAAACAGAAGCCGAGAAACAATTTACTGAGTAATTTATCAATGACGACCAACGGCGAGACCTAATAATTTCTGTAAAAGTTGTTGCTTAGTTGCATTGCTTTATTTAATAAGCACGATGCAATTAAATGAAGAATTACAGATATTATATACTTTAAACATTCAGGAAAACTTTAAAATTATAGAACGAAAAAAATAGTAAGACTGAAGTGTCTTTAATAAACGTAAAATTTCTAAATATCTTTACACATTAATATGCCACCTTTTTTCCGTACATAAAAAATTTTAAAATATAATTGTAGATAAAAGATAAAAATAAAACTAAAGAGTCTTTTATCTAATAAGAATTTAAAATTAACATCGAATATTTATACGCATTCCTTTATTCAATCCGAAATCAGAATTTAAATCAAATTGTACTGAATTCCATGAGTCATGCAACTGTTATTGATTTATGTCATATAACAAGGTAGCGTAAACTTCAAATAAAAGGCAAATTTTACAATTTTATTGCATTATTAATATTTTAATAACGTATTTGATGATCGTAATCAAAACATCGAACTCACATCAGATTTTATAGACACTCATGGAAATTTTATAACGAAATCTTAAGCATTTTCACACAATTTAATACACATACTTACTTGTCATTTCCATGTTTTTGTCGGTCTAGCATGAAAAGAAATCAATAAACGTATAAATAAGAGTAAATAATTAATATTACATTTAATACAAATAGAGACACACACTTAAAATATCACAGCAATATGAAATCATAAAATAAACATTACTATTTACGAAACAAAATGCCTTAAAATCTTCAGATTAATTAGGACTGCATGGAAGCGAATTATCATATTTACGAATGTAGTATTCTTTAAGTATGGATGCAATTCGATATAGGAAGAGAGATAAAAATGCCAACGATTCCTAGTACGTTATGCAAATCAGTTAATAAAACAACATATTTTGGAATACTTTATGCACATCAAGCACTTTGGTAAATTTAAGGCAACAGATTTCTTATTCTTTAACTGATTGAGAAAATGCTGTGATCACCAGCTGCTTTGCAGATGAACACAATCAAATAAAGTGTTTGCTATGCTAATAAACATTCCTAAAGAACAATAATACACCAAGCGTTTTTGATTAAATTTACTAACCATGAATTTTCCAAGGCGCTAATGAGACACCAATATAGATTTTTTTTATCTCTATATCTGCCCGCTTTTGAATATGAGGACAAATTATTTCAGAACGTATTATAATGGTCTGAACTGAGAGACTGTAGAAAGCGGTTTTATAATATGAATATATGTGTACTTCCTCGGGCGAAGTAAAGGAAATATTGTAATCACGAAAAATTTCGGGTATAAGATTTTAACGAGAATATCCATAATAATTTGTTTCCTAAATAATATTGATTAATTGATTATATTATCTCCTAAGTTTAATTAAAGTAGAATTGTTTTAAAACTTAAAAATGAAAATTAAAATAATCTCACTTGAAACTCACTAAAAAAACTTGGATTCACTCTTTTAAAATAATTCTACTTTAATTAAACTTAGGAGATAATTAAATCAATTAATCAATATTGCTTAGGAAATATATATATATATATATATATATATGTATTCCGCCTCGGTGAAGTATGTTTTTTTCCCTATGTACTGGTAAAATGTATTTTTCTTTGTTGTTTTAAAAGTGGTTGAATTATGTTGTTTCACAGTTCTGATTAAGGTTTTTATGAATTTAGTTAATTTTCATACAATATTTGTAGAATTATCAACAATTTAATAGTTGCGCTAGGCCTAACGGGTTGCTATGTGTTTACATTTAAAGCTGTTAGTAGTATAATGAAATAAGTCAGTTGGTGCACCAACTTCTATGTTCTTTTGCCTAATGGGCTGAATAGTTAACTTTAAATTTTTGTGCACCAAAATTTTGCCCGTAGGCAGAATTACTTGTGTTTGAGTAGAAACTTTTAATTTCAAAAATTGTTTTTTAAGTGTTTCTAACTGTATTTGTTGTATATTTCTTGTATTTTATAATTTTTTTTTGAAGTTGTTATGAGTTTTTATGTATTTTTGCCTAGCTGCGAAGTGAAAACTGATATAACTCATTGAGGAATATATCCCACACCTCCCATAAGAAAAATATAATTTCTTTTTGCACGGTTTAATTTTCCTCCTCTTAGTGTGTAAGGCATAACGAGAACACATATTTGATATTACTTCTAGAGTGAATGAAAGCTAAAGAAAAGGGTTTACCAATTTTCTTATTTGATGTATTTCAGTTCAGGCTTTCAACAATAGACATTAAGCAAACTTTTAATGTAAAATTAGAGAACAGGGTACGGCAGTTCATTTTATAAATACACCGAATAAAATTTAATGGTATTTTTAAGCAGTGTCGACAGTAAAATAAAAATAATTTCCTGAAACCTGGAAATATTTTGACTTGTATACTACTTTTCGATCAGAAAGTTGTGGCGATTTCCAAACAGATCTTTCATCACAGTATTCGCCAAAAATAAATGCAGTAGTATAAAGCCTTGTGAAACCAAGTCGTTTGACAAATTTCCTCTTAATTAAAAATTTTCAATTTTCGAAAATTTAGGCTATGTTAAGAAAAAAGTAATGCGTGCATCACCAACAGGATTCTTCTAAGGCTGGCTGTATTATAGTGTATGTTTCCGAAACAGTAACATGTAATGGTAATAAGCATTTTCCAAGGCCAGGTATGGTTACGAATGATGCATATGGCATTTCCCCCGCCTTCTTAGCATGCCTTCGTGGCGCAGTGGTCAACACGCTCGGCGCATATTCCAGTGGTCCGTGGTTCGATTCCCGAGGAAGGTATTGCTCATTTTTCATCCCTCCTGCTTTAAAAAAATACCTAAAGTCTCTACAGATGTGAATGGTCATGGAAATGTCTAGTAGTAGTTTTAATACTATATCATTCTTCACACTTCTCTTTCTAACTAAATAATGTCAATATTCTAAACTTTTAAATTATGAATCATTATTTTACAGTATACTACATTATTAACGATGTTATACATTTTGTGGCATTTATAGGAATTAAAATATTGCAGACGTAATTCTTTCTTTCCCAAAATGTCCTTTCAATATTTTTAGAGTTATGAGTATTCCAGCAAATTAAGGACAACGTATCCTTTTTGATATATTAATACATGCTGATTTGTTACCCCAGCTCTTTGTCTCTTAATAGAGCTGGAAGATACAGTTAATAGTTAACATAATATTTAGGAAAACAATCGGAGAAATATCGTATCTTTAGTCTGCGAATTTAATCAGCATTACTAAGTACACATGTAATAATACTACATATTAAAATACGCTTCATTAATTGTACATTTCCCTGTATATTCAGTCATGAAGCGCATTATAAAATGTATTAAATTTATTTACATTATTTCTGCATTATGGTTTTAGAACTTTGAACTTAATAGTACTTTGAGTAGTGGGAGGAACAATTACTAAATTAAAATAACTTTGATCCGTAAAATCATCTAAATTTCAAACATAGAACTATTGGCACTGATCCAAACATGCTAAAAATAAAACAAAACGGTATTTACTATGTACTAAATTGCCTTCTTTGGTGTAAAATATTATATATCTTTCATTAAATAAATGACTGTGCATAAACTTTATTTATATAGTTCAGCTCTAAATAACTTATGAAGAAAGCAAAGAACATATTTTTCTCGCCTATTAGTAGAAAATACAGAGACTCTGAAAGCAATTAGCATATTGTCAGAAATATTTCTTTTGATTCTGGTAAAACAAATCTTAAAAGGGAAGGACGATTAACGAATCAAGCCGATCACCCTTATTTCTGTAGTGCAAAAAGGAATTCCCAACCACGTTTCAGGCGGGATGTAGCGCATGCAATTCCACGGACATTAAAAACTTACAGTTAGCAGGTCTTTACTCCAAGTTAATCTACAACTAACGCATTTGTTTGGTTATAACTGCTAATTAGGAATGAAGCTTTCTTGATTTTTCTCATGCGGAGGCAAGCTAGGTCGTCAGACAGCAAAGTCATATATTGAAGCGGAAAAAAGTCGATATCTCTGTTTGGGCTTCTAGAATTTATTACACAGAAAACCCAACCAGAGGCACTATAGAAGTGTTCATAACATCAACTGGAAATACGCCATCAGAAGTAGTAAGGTAAAATGATAAGGCACACCTCTGCTTACGAAGCGAATGTGATCATTTGCAAAGCGAGAATATTAAAAATACATCAGAAATGAGTGATATGGTGACAGTTTATCCCTGGCAGTATTCATTAAAGAGTATGATTCTTAGGACGGCACAGTAGAGGAAATAGCAAACAGCCACATTCTTAAGAGTCAAAGGATGGCAATAAGAGCCAAGATGTACAAAAACTTTTAACCAGTAACCAGGCAGTTTTTTTAGCAGGTAAGCAACGTTTAGCTTATTTAATATCTTTGACACGTATAAAAATATGTTCAATTGAATGAACCTTCAAACATGCAACTGAAAATATTACAGATCACTCTGTACCAAGTGAGAGGAATCTCACTAACACCGCAACAAGCCTCTTCCTGAAGAAGCTGAAAAAACTCAATTTCAACTTTTAAAAGTTACGTATGAGCTTTAGAAAATAATTTAAACGCTTTTAAAGGCAACTAGCACAGATTAATCTGGAAACTTTAACCGTTTCCTTAATTAGGAAAACAGACAAATTCCAAGAGTAAATGAAACTTAATGTCTCTTGTTATAATTAAGAACAGTTTAGAAGCACTTTCTTTAAAATTACTACTTTTAAATCTCATTTATAACGCAGAAATTTAAATTATAAATTATCTCATTCTTGTCTTGAAAACACTGAAGATAAAGTGAGTGTTATTAAGTTACACCAGTTAAACAAATTTTAACTTCACGAAAGAAGTGTCACATTACTTAAACAAATTAACACTTATGTGCATTAATTAATTTAAAGCGGATGAAACCTTTCTACCGCGTATATTTACAGATTAAAGTTGATTTAGCGTGTATAATTCAAATTCTTGAAATTTCAGTTTAGTGAATAGTTAAAATAATTATGCTTAAATTGATTTAAGCTAATCATACAAGTTTTAAATCATTAGAATAGAATTATATTTTCTTAGATAAGTATTATACTTTTAGAAATTTTATCTCGCTGTCATTTCTAAGGATCTTACAATGCTACCAATGACATCACGAAAATAAGCTGCGGGTAGGCAAAAATGCTATTTATCTTTTCTTATTGTAGTCTGAAAACCAAAATTATTTGAGCTTCATTTAATTACTGAAAATAATTAAATAAAAAATAATAATAACAAATGGTTACCTTAAATAAGAGAAAAGATTAATTGTGAAATAAAAGAATAACGATTAATCTACTTTTAAATATTTATATTTTTCCAAAGTCGTTATTTAAGTGTCACGTTCATAATTTAAAAATCTAACAAACTATGTAGAACAAACGCGAAATTAAGCAGACCAAAAATGAAAAAAGTATACTCGACACTTTTGTATAAACACATTATTTACTGAAACAAAATTCATGATCGATATCGAAAGTAACTATTCTTTCATAGAAACTCACAGATTAATTTATCGAAATAACAACAGTTTTCATTCAGTAC